GAGACTTCTTTTCGAGAGGATTAGTGACCAAACGCCAAGAAAGAAAAATTGTCCAGCAATATATTATTAAGTAGTTGATACAATGTATATAAATATATGTTTAAATAAATAAGTCGATACTAACAAAAGTATTTAAATACCAGTACTCAAATACTTGACAAAATTGAAATCGATACAGGAAAAAGTTATAAAGTCAAAAGTACTGCTATCACATCACATTATTCAACACAATATTAATTTATATTAACTTTTGTCCCAGTTAGGTACCTTATTATTTTAATCTAAGCTAGTAATAACAAGTTAGTTTCCTTTTCTATTGCGAAACAAAGGATATCTGACGTTAATCTTAAACATAGTAAAAAAATCAGTAAAAAAATTAAAACATTTATATTAGCTAAATTGTTTCAAGTAAAATCATTATAATTGCAAATAATTAAAAATAATTTGTGTCTGTCAAATTGAAAACCATATTTTACGGTAATGTTTATTTTTTAATGAGACTTCATAACGCCAAATAGTCGACTACACGAAAATAACCTACAAAATTGGGACATCCATATTTATGGTAATAATGAAAATATAAACATATTAAATTAAACAAGTTTTTATAATAGTCTATTTATTTTATCTTTAATATATTTAAATATATAACTTACTCACTTTACATTTTTAAAGCCGCACCGTGTAAAATGTCGAAATCGTTCAAGTATAGTAGAACGAGATTCTGAGAATTATATATTATTAGAATCTCTTTGTCGAATGTTATTATGGTAGTTGTTTACAGGAAACAACCTTGGCGAGGTTTCCTTTGAAAATTGCATAAATTGTTCAATTACTCATTTGTATGCATTTAAAAGGATGGTTCTGTGTTCAGCTACAGAAGTGATACAAACATTTTGTTAATTTCAATTATTATTTTAACTGCCCCAAAATAATATTCTGATACTGCAAGAACTACACACAATTAAACCAGCTTTTAACTTGTGTTATGCTAAATAATTGGTTCAGTACCTTAAACATAAGATTATTATATTGTGTGATATTTCACAGCGGTTCAAGTAAAGTTGAAGATGTATACAGGATGGTGTATTTTAATATAAAAAAAAACAACACATACAATATTTTTAAGATAAGTCATAAAGTAATTGACTGTCTTTAAGCTCTCCTATAAGAGTAATAAATATACTAAAAAGTGTGACGTGAACTGTTATATTAAATAATAATAATTAAGAAATGGCAACTATTAGTTTATTTGTAATTTAACACATACATTTAAAACCGTTATACAAATTTACAAAATAGTATAATTAATCCAACTAGGTACTCATAAACTACCACATTAGTTTGGTATTTCTAACTTAAATTATTATACAGTTAACATGACCATATTATAGTAGATCTAGAATATTTCCAACCATTTACTATAACCAATTTTGATTTTCCCGTGTATATAATTAAACAGATGTCTATTTATTTAGTTTTTTTGAAACATTTATGTAATACAATTATTTACTTGACGTTTAACCAGTTTTAAACTACTTATGTAATAAGCAACCAAAAGAAAAATTCGGGAGGCTGAATTTTTTTCATTTTACTTACAAAACTGGTAATTGTTTTTTTTTCTTTTATAAAACTATACGCTTTAAAAAAACTATTGCAAGTATGAATCTAAATTATTATTAACCAATTATAAAAATAATAGTTGTATTTGAATAGGTTTTTTAAACTAAAACAACAAAAAAGAAGTTATATCAAATAATAAAAATATATTTTAATGTCAATACCATTTTGAAAATCATGTGTTATGTACAGTTTAATTATTAAATGATCTGCGACCTTCGGCTTATTACAGAAAAAAACAAATGTCTAATATAGTTATTATAACATGTATTGCGATTCGTAATTAAAATATTGAAAAACCCCAATTAAGTTGAAAAATTATAATTTTTTAACACAGTTGGTGATGAAATCAAAGCTGTCTTATTGATATTATCCTATTTGGACATTCATTTTCCATTACATTGGCTATTCGTTTGTTCTTGACCTACGCCGGAGGACTTTTATTGCACCGTATGTGTTGAGCTCTGGCTTTCTCATAAAAAATTCGTTAATAACGACAAGGTCGGAATAGCTAAAAGTTTAGCTGGAACATCATAATTAAATGACGTATTCCGTTCATTCCGTGTTATTCTAAGTGTTTTATTATTTAATAACATTAAATGTATTTGTTTATTTATTTATTATGCCCATAGGCAAGAAATGCATTACAATGTTATTAAAAAATTAATTATATGCAAATTACAAGGTTAGGCAATTATTAATATGTAATATAACATAAAAATCACTAAAACATTGCAAGTAGTTGAGCGAGAGAGAAATGAAAAATAAAACAGCACAGTGGGCGTATGGGATCAGTGAGGAATGAGATCATAAACGACAGATGAGAATTATTTTAAATGGAGTCTGACAACGATAGAATTATTTTCAAAAAAAACTATTGTGTAGATTGTAAAAAAACTATTACATATATACCATTACAATGTATATAATAATATATATAATATATAATTATAATAATATATGTTTTTGGCCTTTCCTCGATAAAACGTCCAAAAAATATAATCTCTCATGTCTCTTTAGTTTAATTCAAGTACAGATATGATTGCACCTCAGCCTAAAAAATATGTTTTCTTTTTAATATTATATTCATGGTGGGCTAGCCAAGTGCGGGTCTACGATACACCGTTTGTTAGAAATTACAGCTTAATTAAAATTCCTCAGTTAGGAGTATGATTTTGTTGAAGTGTATTTACATAAAATCTAGTAGTTTACCAAAAAAGTAGTGACTTTACTTAGACAATTCGTTTTTTTATGGCGACGAAAAATAACATAATATTTTAAGTGTTTTCGTATACATTTTTATATAATTATACAAATATTTTAATTGCATATGACTGGAGAGATGAACAAATAAACCACTAAGATTGGCTTATGAATTACTAGGTAATCAATCGTTTAAGATGAAAGTAAACGTGCGAAAAAATCCAATACTTTGTTGGATAACACAATTGAAGGGGGTTCATTAAGAAAATTATAAATCGATTAGTGATGTTGATATAAATTAGATGAACTATACAGTACAAAAAAAAAAATAGTAATTAAATTCTATTAGAAAATTTGTTGATCATTTTGTAAGAAAATATTATGATTTTATTTTGAATGTTGAGTTTTTGCGGTACAATCGAATAGTGTACGTGACGTAGAAGAATATAGTTTGTAATATTTTTCATTTTTCTTTTCTTTTGTTATAATACGGGGACATTGTTATTGCGGTTACCAATATTTATAACCCCTATGAACACTATATTCCTGTACGTTCTTATACTCTTCAAGTACAAAACAAATGTATTTACAAATGGCACCGCACGTACCTAATAAATAATTTTAAATATGAATGAAACACTATGACTAACACATGCGTCTATAAGAAATTCATGAAAGTATTTGATGCATTTTTCTGGGAGCATTGCGCTAAATTCTACAGTTTGCATGCAGATCTCCGATTAAATGCTTATATAATACCAATATTGAATATAAATTATAGAATAAATTTAAATAAATTGTTTGTACAGTACCTGCTTTATTTTGTATAGTACTTTGTCCAAAAAAAAAAAACACGGCAAGGTTAACAACAATAACACAATTTGAAATTTCAGTGTCGGCTAACAATTTGCATATATGATACAAAAAAATCCAAAACTGATGTAACTAATAAAAATATTCATCATTCAATATTTTTGTTATACAATTAAATAATAGTGTAAATAACCTGAAACGGTGTAATTCATAATATATTAATATTAGGTTTAATTAAATATATTTTTCTGTATTTAATTCACCGGTCAAACTCAAAACACAATGATGGTACATAACACGGTAAATGCTGAAGTATATAAAACAAGCAGCAGTTTCGTTGAATATTGATATTAAAATTAATTAATTTCCTTTAAGTTTCCTGTAAATATAAATTTTTAACTTTTGAACAAAAGCATTGTCTAACTTTCACAATTTCAAGAGTTATAAACTTTTGCAAATTGAGACGGTGTTAATTGTGTACGCAGTTATCGATTTAGCAATTTAAATCATATTTATAAGTAAAATATATATTCACCTGGTATATGTATAACTGGGTTATGTACCCTAACTTAATGAATATGAAAAGATTTGTTTATTAAAAAAAAAGTCTCTTTGAGAAACGACTCAAATTCGTATTTTATATATGTACCTATTTGAATGGATAATACTTAAATATTTTTAAACAATATAATTAAATACATTATTTTTAATTAGTAAAACAGTACTAAAAAGTAAGAATTGCATCTTCTATATAATGTGATGCAATTATTCATTATGGATGTTGTTTCTCCAACTTAGGTCGGTACATGCTCATTCGTTACTCTTTCTGTCCAGTTAATTTTTTCCATTCGCCTCCAACACCAAATTTCGAAAGCTTCATGGGATCTTTTACCGTTTCATTTACAACCCATGTCTCGTAGCACTATAAAGCGACACTCCATACAATAGTTTTTAACTATTTCTTCTTTATTGCTCGGCTATTATTTAACTACCAAGTATTTAGTAGTACGGTTAGTAATACGATGAATATTAATAGTAACACAAAGATATATTTTAAGGTAGAGTTGAAAACAAATTGCTTACAATATTTATATTAATAAAATAAACATTCACGTTTGAAATTCATTATTAAATACTCAATGATATGTTCCGTGTTTTTTTTTTTATAGCGGTTCGCGGTTCAGTTTGAAGTAACGTCTATGTTATTGGTACTTAGTTAATAAAGTGTGGTGCCAAGTTTCTCTCTCCACTGGACGGCATTAAGAGTAGGTACACAATCAAAGCGGTAGTGGTTCAATTTTGTTATTGAACTCGCCGACCTTGTATTTCGTTACTCGACTATTAAAACCGAAAGTCGTCCAATAATTTGTTGCACAGTCTTTTACCATCCCTCGCCGAATGTTGATGAGTAAAAATTGTTTTAACACTTTAAGTATTACGATAGCATTTCAGTAACAATGGAAACCAAAGCATTAATATTACCAACACCTAGTGAAATTGATCAAATTTACAGCGATTTGGGTACGTCCGAATCAAAAATCGAAATCGACGTGAAGACCATCAAGGAGTGGATGCGAAAACAACCTCACCTTCCAAATCCAGATGGTAAAATATAGTCTTACAATTATTTTGAATACCATTTATATTAAACCACAGCGAAGTTTAAGACAACGTTAAAAACGCAGCTGACGTTTAACAAAACAAGTAGAACAATCAGAAATAGTTGTGTCAGGAAACTGTGAATTGTTAATGTGATATGGGTTATTAAAATTTTTATTGAATTACAAAAATCTGGTATAAATTATAAAATATCTTAATGTAAATGTTTTCTTCAACTATAAGTACTTTTTTTTATAATAATATTAAAAAAAAATCCAGTGACTTTGCGAGTAAGAGTTTATTTTTCCTAGATGATGAAAGGAGAATCAAACTATATCTGATTATGTGTAAGAACAGTTTGGAAAGAGCCAAAGAAGCATTGGATCGGTATTACACTATAAAAACTTCGGCTCCAGAATTCTACGCTGCAAGGGATCCGACTTCACCAGAATTAACCCAATCAAGAGATTTGTCGTTAGTATACTTTTATTTAAACATCCATTTCACTTATGAGTAAAGTGCAATTTGTTATAACTATTTTAAAATACAATTTTATGGAAAAAATACGAAATTTTTAAGAAAAAAGTAAACTTATCTACAAATTTCATTTAGTTGTTGTGCAAATTGTATTTCAGTATGTTCATACCATTGCCAAAATTGACACCCGAGGGCTACAGAATAAGCGTCAATATCTTTAGAACCGATGATACTGAACATTTAAGCTTTAGTGATCAAGTTAAAATGAGTTTTATGTCTTTTGACCTCAGATTGTCTAAGTTAGACATTTATACAAAGGAAATATTTGTATTCGATGTGAACAACATGACTATGAATCACATCGCTGGCGTTCTACCACATCTCAAGCATTACTTTTACTGTGCATTCGTGAGTAATTATTAAAAAAAACTAATAATCTGATAAACGCGATCAATAATTAATTATTTTAAACACATAATTGTTTTTTATCGGAAGAAACATAAGTTATTGTTTCTGAATGAAAAGGTCGTAACTAAAATGTTACAGGGAAAAATATTAAATTGAAAAACACTTGTATAAATTATTATGATAATACCTTAAAGGTTTCATATAATAAAACGTGAAAAGTTTGCTCTTTAAAAGTAAAATATTTTACTAGTTACACTTTTTTTCATTTTAATTTAAATAAATTGTTTGATATAGTAAAATAAAAGTTTTAAGTTTCTTGTAGGCAGCTAAATAACCACAAGGTTATTAGGAAAAAGTAAGGAAAATTTGTTCATCAAAGAATACTCTTTAATACCTTAACTTTTTAAACAAGTGTTGTTAAACTGTTATAAAATTAATTAAACACTTTTATATTTTTAAATTACATTTGTTTTATATTTAAAAAAAAAAAAATGTTTGTTGTTATTACATTGTATGTCTGACAATCCAATTTAGTGATAGTTGTGAGATTAAATTTGTATTTAATCAATTTATTGGTGTACAATTTTCACTATATTTATATTGTTTGAATTTAAATTCTTAAAAAGAAGATTTTTATAGAAGTTTTGAATTTAAATTGTTCATATTCTGGTCAAGTATCCCAGTTTTTACGAATTCCTATTTACAACTTTATCGACGTTTAACCAAATCTTCCAAATTTTTCTTACACGCCATTTTTTACTAGCATATTGCCTTTCAATAAGTACATCACACTTATTTCAAACACAAACTTTACAATTATCATCAACTGTGTATTATCAACAAAGTAGTTTATTCCATTAGGTCATTTTCTAAATGTCGAGCTTTAAAGATTTAATGTTGTAAAAGTACTTCTAGTAATATATATTACTAATAATAAATTGTAATAACATTATTATAATATCTAGTACAGGAGATAAAAGTATGAAACATACAAAATGTTTAAATGTGTATAAAAACTTTTATTTATTATTTTACCATATTTCAGGCGGCTTATCCAATGCGCATACACCAAGTGCACATAATTAATATGAAAACGTACGCGACTTCATTGATAACTTTTGCTAAGAGTTTATTGAAAAAAAAAATAACCGAAAGGGTAAATCATTAATGTTTTGATAGATAATACAAATTATATTAACCATTTTTTTTTATATGTACATAGATTTTTATTCACAAATCCAGTGAAGACCTGAAAGAATATATCGATCCTAGTGTGCTTCCACTGAACTACGGAGGGACTTACCCAAAGACTGTAGAGGAAATATGTGGTCAGTAAAATGTATTATTTAAAACTAAAATGTATAACATCAAAGAATGTAGAAATATTACAATATTTTAGCGGGCAAAACAAATTGTTAGTTTAGGTAAATGTTAGACTTGAGGCATCACATTTTGTTCCAAGAGGTATCAAATATAAAGGTTCTCTTATATAACATATGTTATCCAAATATATTATCACTCATACGCGTGTAGTTATGTTGCCTGTATTGATATATATTTGGCGCTAGTAAAAACGATTAAAATAACAAGTTTCTTAAAAAATGTCTTTTGAACCAAACAAATTGGCAGAATATTACATACCCGTTTTGCATTTTACATACTGTAACTTCTCAGTAATATTCTCTGTCAAATAAAAAAGTAATCAATTGTTTGTTGGCCAATCTAGCTTATCAACTATATATTTTTACATTAATTAAAAATTAAAAGTAAACAAATTAATTTCGAATAAACGCATATACGAAATAGACTACAGATTTCCGCACTTTAGATCTAAGTTAGGTCTTACTTTTAGAATTTAAGTTCTAAAAGCTCAAAAATACTCGAGATTTACTAGTTTTTCATTAAGCCATTAGCGTAATTTAAATGTTTTGATATCGTTGTCACAATATATGAATCAGACATTATATAATGCAAATATTTACAATTTGTTTTCGAATTTTTAAATTATTCTAAGTTAAATCTAAGATATTTCCATTGTAATCGAATGACGTGCCTGGATTCTTGAGCAGGCTTGTGCAGTAACTCGTGTATAACAAAAAATATGTTGACCTATCGAAGAATACAATATAATATGGAAACAAACCAGTTTTGTAAAGACTAAAAAATGTGCTAATAAAATAGTAATACATTAGTACCATTTATATATTTAATGATGCGTTCTATGGCCATGAATATAATATTTTCATTACCAAATCAGTATTCAGTATTAATTTCACCTTTGTGAATGAATACACCTACAGTTCTATATTTTAACGATTTTATTCGGAATGCACTTACTACGGTACGTCGGAAGTAAATTGGATACAGCTATATGGTCTACTGCATTGCAATTTAAAATCCAGTGGTTAAGTCCTAAGAGTTTATGTTTTCTTTGACTTATATTTCGGGAATATTTTTAGCGTTATTCGGTAAAAAAAAAAAATTAACCAAAAATACTAGTATCGATTGAGTTTTTATATTTAAACAGGATCGATTGAACAAACATTGTGAAACATGATGAAAACCCGTTTAGAAAAGCCTAAATTTAAATATCAAGTAATGATAACGGTTTGAACTTAAACGTCATAAAAATAAAATTTCCTGGTGCGTCGTCATGCCACCACGTGACGTTGAATCAAGTAGTCACCAAAAAGTAGTTTTGTTTGTTGCACAGTAATAGAAACAGTAGCTACTATATCTTTGATTCAACTCTATAGGAATAACCTAGCTAAGAACACCGCCAGGAATGAATGGGGTATCTTACATTTTGTTTCATAAAAATCGGTTTAGTAATTATATTAATTATACATTCATACATAAACACAAATACACTCATACATATTTGCTGTTCACCAAAATAAATTACCTCCTAAAATAGTATTAAGTTGTAAAAAATAATATATCATTAGATTAACTACTAAGATATATAACATACGTTATTTTTAAATTATAATTTAATAATTTAAATTGCAGATGGATGGACTGAGGAATTGATTAAGCACCGAGAGTGGTTTATAGACCACTCTTCAATTGTTGTAGATGAAAATAAACGAGCGAAAAAATCCAGTATTAAGACTTTGGATAACACACTTGATGGTTCATTTAGAAAATTAGAAGTAGATTAGTTGGTAATTATTTGTATTCAGTTGATAATTAGCTAAGTTTGCTAAGTGCATTAAATGGAAAGCATAGCAATATTAGGTTTATTTGGTGATATCTTTAAAAAGAGTTTTTGTGTATTGTATTTAAAATTTGAAAAATTATCTAACTTATTTATATAGTAAAAATTGTTTTTAGAATATAAATAAAACACTATAAAAAATATGTTGATTTGTCATAAATTTATAAAAACGATTGAGACAATTTATCTCTACAGCCGTACACCGATTTAAGCCTATATTATAATATTGACAAATACGCCTACGTGTGTTCTAAATCATAAAAATCTCCTTTATACAGTGCAATAATAAGCCGCGAATGTAAACTAACCAATCAACCAATTAACTAGTTTCACAATTACAGAGCGACTATAGTAAAAAAAAAACAGTAGTTAAGTATAAGGTCATATGAGTAATTCCAAAAATAATTATTGTTACTGCTGGTCTAGCTGTATTTTGTAGCCCAATAGAAAATCGGTATCTCGTTCGACTCGCAACTTTAGGAATACAGCTTTTACACTGATAACTAAAAATATATTTAAAAATATACAATTACCTCTCATTGCGTTACTAACATGATTAGACCGTTATAAAAATAGGTACATGATTTAGAGGTTCTTAATGTTTATTATTTTGTATAATATCCGAGTATTGGCGATGCATATACTAGAACATAATTTTTAACGATAATACGGTCCGCGTGTTAGTCCTTGAAAGTCACGCCGGAAATTACGAACGAATGAAGCGTTCTCACGCCAACGTAATCATAATAATAGATTATTTAATTTGAACTTGAAAACGTTGGATACCACTACTCACCTAGTCATGTAACGAGGAGTTTAATTATTATCTAGTCGAGACCACCAATACTAGAACAATCGTTTTTTTTTTTATAATGAGTAATTCAATAAATATTTTATGAGTTTTTTTTTAATAAACTTGATTTTCCGTAGTCAGTGTTCAAACAACTATATAAATCTTAAATTATTTAAAAAAAAAAAAATTCTTTATAATTACTAGTTATTCAAACAAATAATTCAGACAAAAATCAATACTACCAATTTTCAAAATGCACACTTCTAAAATATGAAATTATATTAGTATATATATATATATATAAATAATTATTATGAAAAACAAATTTTCTTGTAACCAGTATTTACAACGAACTGTAAAAAACATACCAAATTTATAATTTTCTTTTTATACATTTTAGCTATTAACTAATAAATTTAAACATATATTTAATTATTGTTAAAATCATAAATTATATTTGTTACTTTTCGTCGTACGCAATCTTTTAATTAAAAAATTAAACGTATCTATTTCTCGGAAATAAATCCTACACTCAAGTATTGTTTTTAGATGCTTGTGAGTTAGTTTGAATTTAATCGCTCAATGCGTTTTTGTGATTTTTTTACTAGCCTCGAAAATGTGCTCTTGAGAAAAAAACGTGTAAAAACGTTTTCTAAAAGTATTAATTATATTTGGTGGCCTTAGCCCAAAGTAATTGTTACTTATCATAACATTGTTAATAATTATTGGGATACTGTAATAATAATGCATCCGCGTAGTGAATTTTCGGCAAAATAACCTCATTTATCGATAACAAGTAAAAAAATCAACAATCAATTAAAATTAATAGTTATTACCATAATTCATATTTTTTAGTACATTACTCGATTAGTATAAACGAGTAATACGTCCTACAAGGCTCTTGCAGGAAGCCACAACTAAGTGTAAAGTATAAATAAAACAATCGCGTAAAGTAACAAAATACCGCGGCCGCTGCTAAAGTCTAGTTTTGAAAGTCTTATATTGTGGTCCAAAAATTATAAGGTAAGTTAAAGGGATAAAAGCAAAAATCCCTTGTTCTAACGCAAAAAGTGTCGTAACTTCTACAACTATTATTGTGCTGGAGAGAAAATGTTTATCATAAATCGAGTTAAACTGTAAAAATTTCAACGAGAAAAATAATCGCTCGATGGCTAGAAAATGTATTCAGTTCACTTGGACAACCAAGTCGAGTTTGCTTAGAATGCCACGTGTACCTATTTTTCGATAAATATGCAAATGAGCTTGCTCTCAACCTAGGATTTGCAAAAAAATTCTAGGAAACCAAAACTGCCATGTCCCCACTTGCTTAGCGTACTGCAGTACTAGTTTATTTTGTTTTTTTTTTTTTTATAAAAAAAACCATCAGTTTTGGCGCAAAAGTGATACATTATCTCTTGAATTACGTCATAAAAAAAATTAACCAATTTATTAAAGAGTAGAAACTAATAAATAAATAATTTTTCTAAAATCTTAGTGTGAAAAAGAGCTTTAGTCTATACCTATATTAATTCTAAAAGGTCGGATATTATGTTATTAAGTTTGTCCATGTATTATATTTTGTTAGTGTTTATTAGCATAACTAAATTGTTTCTAAAAATGGCGTTAAAAAAATATAGCAATGCCATTAGTGCATGGCCATTACTTCAGCAACTGGTCGACCACAGACAGTTTCTTTTAACTGGAATTATCGCTACATCATCTACTGAATTGTTAAACTTAATATGTTTCATTAGGTATTTTGGTATGATGACGCTGTGGTGATTTATTTAGCGATGACACGCTATTGTCCACGAAGGCAGAATTTTTTTTTCAAGGATACTTTTTTAGAGGTGATTTTTTACTTAAATAATATTTAAGTAAATTCTATTAACAACGACAAGATTTTTTCCCACTTCCATTGTCGAAATTATATAAACAAATAATAAATGTTGTACAATATCATAATATTACATTGAAGTAGTATACCCAAGAAATCACATTAAATTCAACACATAAAAAAACAATACACAAGACTACAGACAATAATTAAATGTATTGTTTATAATTTGTAAACTTATCATAACATTTTTAACGCGAAATACGAATTTTAGGCACACGCCAGTAATAAAAACATTGATTACCTTAATGTTGTGCAGTATTCTAAACAAACAAACAAATTAGATATTTAACACATGTTTTTTATTTTTATGGCGTTTTCATAGCAGCCGTGGTTTATTTTATTATAGCTACGTTTTATATAGTCATAATAAACCGGTTTCAAAATGAATAGATAAATTTCGGAACCAAACCAAAAACATAATATTGCCAGAGCGTGGATGTCGCATGCCAGCACAATTCTAATTCTTTTAAACAGTTCTGTATTCCAATGGTAATTATAATATACCTTTCTGAGAACACTCGTGAACATTTTAGTTTTGTATTCACCAAAATCGGCTTATTAGTTTAACTATCATAGTGTTTGAAGTATTTCTTTGCCCAGTGAAATATTTCTCAAAACCCTAAAACGTTCAATTATTGCTATTTTTTATTGTCTTGTTTACCGACTACAACGACTGGGAAACCCGCCAATTTATAAAGCTGTTGGTCATTATGCTAAACTTAACATAACCATACATCTCATAATGTTACGTAATGTTATGATTAAACATTATGACGAACTGCGTTCGTAGATTACTTTTTATTTTATTTCATCTATTATTTTGTTTAAATTATTTACAATTTTATAATATTTAACGTTTTTTGATATATTATTTTAGAGTCCTACCAACTTTTAAAACTTGATTGGTAACGTAAATTTCACTTTTTACACATAGCTATCGTATTGTATTATATAAGCTATTGGGTTAGTAGCTTATAGTAATATATGAAATGCATATTTTCCTAAATAAAATTATTACGTCGTTATATTTTTATTCATTGTCTTTTTGCGGACCGTCTTTCTTTCCAGCTCAAAAGTTAACTTATACATTTTATCAAAAATTTAAAACTTATTAAGAAAAGAACTTATTTTTACTTACCAGCCATTATTATCTGTTAACCACAAATATTTTTATTACAAAAACTAACACATTTAAGACAAATATATTCTTTTGTTCACTTCATTTATTTGACAAAATTTTTAAAAACATGATACTTTTTGAAATATTCAAACACTGCAACACACTATTAAGGAAAACGCACCATTGTATAATACATTTCTTTTCAATGACACGGCGAAGCTAATTGCAATGTTACCTTTTTAAGTGGAACAACAAGTTTATTAATAATAGAGGTGTAATATTTAATATTGTAATTTTTAAGATATTAAAGTATAACATATTGTGCAGTCATTATAATACTACTCATTGGGTTGTTTACCGCAACTCATATGCCGTCTAGTTAGTATTGATATGCGAAATTCTCAAATTCCGACGTGTTGGAAAACTGCCTAAATTCATCTAAATCCATGTCCATATTTTGTTCAACGCCCTCGTCAGCCATCGCAGAAATTTTGGATTCAGATGTCGCAGATACCGCTTCTTCGTCCTTTACACCCAAGTCGTTATTTTTTATAGTCGGTTCTGAATTATTTTCCTTGTTACTTGATGATTCACCAGACGACGTTATTCTGTTCCAATAGTCCCTGATAATTTCTTGCCAATCGCCCGACTGTCTGGCTACTCGATGTGTGGGCAGTCCTATGGAATTCATTGCAATAGTTATGTTAAAGAAAAAACCATCAATATATTATTACACTAACAAAATATATAATATTGTCATAAAAAATATAAGGCAAAGTCTATTAGCCTTTTATTTTTCTAACATTTATAGTTTTAAACGGTATTTATATTTTTAGGATTAGTTGTAATGATTTTTACTTAATATGTTTTAATTAAAGTGTTCCCAATTACTTTATATATTGATCATTTTATTTTGTTATTGCATACATTTGGCACATAACAAACTGCACCTTTGCCTTCGGACGTTTAGAATATAAAAATTAATAATACATTAATACTCACATAATTTATGTTTATTATTATGAATAAAATATATAAAAATTTACAATTGAAGTTTTGCCTTGGGTATAAATTATTATTTTAGATAATGCAATATTGTAGCTAGATTTCGACACATAATATTTAAGTCACACGTTTTTTTAAATTAAAATTCAATTTTTATTATAATAATTATTATTACCTAATAATTTTTACGCGTACAGTAAAGAAAACTGTAACTCGAGTTTTTTGAAAAATAAATGATTAGGATACTTGCATCCCTACATATTGTTTATTTATCTATTTTATAAATTAACGCCAAACCTCTTTTTTTAAAGAGTAAATACAAGTATGTATGGCATTAGTCATTAATATAAAAAATATTACATTAATAAATAAAATTGTCTCTGAACATAATACAAAACACAACGCCTGTCTTTCTGACCATTAGTGCGCTTACACTCGAGAACCAATGATTTGATTTTCATTTTTTTTTTTAATTTATAAATTAGTTCTCTACAGTTTCTTAAATAAATTCATTTTTTAAAAGTATTTCCCCCAAAAAAAATTTATAAACTGTGGTTTTTATTTAATACAAAGAGTGTGAAATTTAAATGTATCTTGCCCTAATGGGGAATATGGCCCTGGGTAATTTCAGTCGACTTAACGTTCACTGAACAAGTTTGGGGATCTACCGAGAGGCACATGGCCATTTGCCCACTGCATCATAAAGCGAACAACAAAGGAAAAGAAAAAAATATAATACACACGACTAGTAATAAAATATATATGAAGCGAAAAAGTTGTCTAAATAAAAAAACTCATTAAATAGTGTTAGTAATACTTCTAACAAACTGGTCTTATATAATTGTCCTTTTAATATCGCCAATATATAGATGCAGTTAATCATCCATAATTATCATGTATACAGACATTTATATTATGTACACGTTTTGACCAGTATTTTAATTGCAACCCTCTCTTATTAAACAATTATTATGGGGGGAGGGTGGGGGCTCTATAAGGCAATGTACGGGAACTGAACTTTTTTAATACCCAAGTGATTATGTAACCAAGTTTGATACCTTATTCACTGTGCTACATACGTTCACTAGTTAATCTAGAAATACAACCAAAAAAAACCTTCTATTAATTTATCAATAATTATGGTTAAGTACTTACCACAATAAGTGACTTGGAAAAGCATAGCAGCTATGATTGTAACGGCTAAATATTTTCTGTTCATGATGACTGATAAGTTTGTTTACTTAAGCGTTATTTTGTTATGTGTAGTTTTAAAAAAAAAGCCTTACAGGTTGAAAACCGAATAGGAGTACTTCTTACGCTATTTATGTTCGGAATTGAACTGAATTAAGAGGCTTTATAAAATACAGTTAACATTCCCATTACTTTGCATAAAACATACATGTCCCGTAGCTATCAGTTAGATAAAATACAAATTTGGTTGAATTTGCATTTTGTAGTGTGGTTTGGTCAAAGTATATGGGTAACCCTAAGCAATTAGTATTAAAGTAACGACAGTACGCCGGAAATAGTGATAATGACTTGTTCTATTTATCAACATTTAATGATTACTTTAAATGTAGTTTATGGTACAACACCTCTTCTATAGGTAACGTTTTTGCCGTAACCGTTGGCACATTACACAAGGCGACAATTTTTAACACAATTATCTGAATTTCACTAAATATATTATAGCATAATTAGACAGAACATAAAAAAACAATATCATACGACGTAAACCAGGGACTTATTTGAATTTTTTACTAAGGAAAATATTGATTTAAAAAAAAAATAAAAATGAATCTGTTAGTTAAGCATAAAAAAAAACACCACGCCATATAGTGTACGTTATTGTTTTCTATATTGTGTTTCCAAAATGTTTAATCATTTCGACGACTTCAAAAAAATAGGACGTTTGATAAATAGCTAATTTTTATATCGAAAATTATAATGCACGTTTCAAGTCCACTTATATTTAATAATATTACATCAGACTGAATATTTCCTAATATCCATTCTGCCACTGTAACTTTTTCCTACTTTTTTTTTTAACAATAACTCGTTTTAATAAAAAACAAGTTTGCTTATCCACAAAGCTATCGAAGAGCGACATCTGTGTACGAAATGCAGCAGTCAAAACGACATTCCAATCTGTTAAACAGATGGCACGGTGCGTAACTCATATAGAATTATGATGTTTTTACCATGCGGTTTTACACGATGAAAATGGAATATTTTTTATAATATTTAATACATAATAATATTCATCATCATTTTTTTAGAATACAGGATTACAATATTGGACTAATATAACTATTATGATTTCGATTTTGATTTTAATGAAATGTACAAAAAAAAGTACTTTTTGCAATATTTTTTTTCTACTATAAACGAGAATTAAGTAATTATATTTTAATCGCGGTTAACATCTACCGATGCGAATGATAATATGTAAAATAGTAATTTCACCTTGTTCAAAAGGATTTATAGAAATAGTTTATAGACTTTGGCAGTACAGTGTGAAAATACAATATGTACAGCATGTAAAAATGGAAACTTTAGATTTCGTATCTTGAGAAATAAATTGTAAAAATAGTAAATTACTACTTTTACAATTTAATACATTTGCAGATCACTAATTATTAGTAATCTATCAATGTATTACTATAATACTATTTTCTAAATATAAAATAAATTTAAAAATTATATTATGTTGACTATTTTCTTATTATAGTTTTAAATAAAACATTCACAACACTTATATATACAAATAATTAATATTTATAAACTGCTATTATTAATTTTGTATCGCTAATAACAATTTTTTATTCTTGGTTTTGGCATATTACAGTAGATCTTTGTGAAAGGAATGTGTTTAACATGTTTACTGCAAAAAATACCTCTACCCATAATAAAAAATTTAAAAATTTAAAAAAAATGTTTTATAAATTGTTTTGACACTGTATTTATTAAATATTGCATTAAAATCTTTTACATAAATACCAAAATCAATATTAAATTCATCGGAAGTTCTATAGTTTACTGTCAAACCTTAAAAGTATTACAAAATGGAGACTTGTTCTCTTCTTGCGGCTGTGATTCATAAATATTTTAAAGTATTATACAAAGCAAAAAGCGCATTTTATTTTTAATAACATTTACGTTAACGCCTTTCACTCAGAAATTAACACTCTTTGTTATTGAGCAGGTAGGTATGTACTTCTCTATTTTTCTCTAGAGAAAAGCAAATCTGACAGGGCAGAATTTACCGAATAAAGTATGTATGAACAAGACCGAACAACGAGTACATCATAATATTAAAATAGGCGCTGGTCGTTAACGGAGGTAGAAGCCGGTACTGTTAAAATTAAAATACAATATTATAGTATTAAAATTCGAGTGGCTTTGGTTGTTATTAAAAAACGGATAGAATGTCCCTAAAGGTCTCTGTCTCTTCTTTTGGTCCATTTAAAAACCGCATCACCAGACAACCGGCGACGTCCGTTCGACCAACGGTTAAGAGAAATAATGAATTTTCGAAAGCGTGTAACTCGGCTAACATGTAATAAGAGATGAGCTCGAGGGAACTCAGAATTTAAATGATAAACACAAACTACCTTAAAGGGTCTTTTGATCCCCTAACCCTTTATGCACGGGAAAAGATGATACCGTTACCCAGCCGTTCGTATGTACACGCACGTGCGGGCTCCACGCAAATAATTGAAGCCAATTTTACCAAACAATTTACTTACCAAAGGAAATTCCAAAATGATTCTTCCCTCGAGGCTGTTTTGTACGCGAACCTGCACCTGAATTATAATCGTAAAACCTATTTGAACAATCGACACGACAACGTTAAATTTGGCGATTAGCAGCCGAATTAAAGTGAGTAATTGAAATATTTTCGCAAATTTAAAGACGTTCATGTCAAGCGCAACCGATGGCCAGGGGACAAAACTCAAGTCGATGACATTAGCTTTATTAAATTAATTACAAGTCGATTTCAGCGTCCGGGTGACAAGAACAAAAAAAAACGAACAAGTGTCCGTGTCAAGAGCAAAAACACAATTTTCCAAGTACAAAACTCGGAATAGCGTAAGTAAATATTGAGATTTTATCGATTTTTGGACCGGTCATGTTTTTGACGGGCTCTTTTATATGTTTTCTAATCGTAGGTTTACAAGTCGGTCAAGTGTTTTTGATCTTGTAGTGAGTTCGGTCGAGTGCGTGCGGTAGATTGATTAACATCACCGTCAATTACATTATGGCGGCAGTACACTGTTGTACGGACCGGCAGATAAATCAATGGAGTAAAAGCACAAGAACCGGCCAATTCGTTTATCTCATTTGCAAGGTAATCCCAAGATTGTCTATGCGCAACCATTGCATCGGCACAAACTGTTTACGCCACCGGCCGGGGAATCTCCTTGGGAAAAACCACTTATTTTTTTTTATTTACAATGAGACGTTCCTAGCTAGTGCTATCTACATCTAAGGATATACAGATACAGTTTTAACATTTCATAACATGATAATAGTAGTAATACGAGAAAAATAAGATAATAATAAATAATACAAGATAATTAATTGTAGTTATAAATAGTATTTAGACATATAATAATAAGAGTAATTAATCAATAAGGTCGTGTGGACGGCCGCGTCTTGAGCGTCGTTGGACTGGTGGATGTGTGTGTAGATTGTAGTAAAGTGAACCGGTTGATTTTGGTAGTGGAGCTATGAAAATTTTCCGCCAGAGTGCTTATGAAATCGTGAATGTTTTTAATTTGGAAGTCTTTGTGTACATTTTGTTGCGTTCGAACCATGGAGCGTTTAGCTATATTATTCTTAACACCTTATTTTGGAAGGTTTGAATTTTTTCCCAGCGTGTAGGTGCACAACTACCCCATATAGGGCAAGCGTAGGCGAATAGTGGACGTAGGATTTGCTTGTTATATTAGTAGTGAACATTTTTTATGTATTGTGGATTTTTCATTTAGTATAGAGGGAATAACATCGAAAGGCGCTGGTAGGCTTGTTGTAGTTTGCTTGATATATGATGTGGCCACCGCGTTAGGCTTTTGTCCAATGTGACTCCAAGATATTTGACTGAAGGTTGCCAAGGTATGGGCGCTCATTATATGCTATTTGAAAGATTTATTTGTATTTTCCAATTTTTGCACCAGTTTAGTAATACATATATCGAGATGGTCCTGTGAGATGGCCAACCTGTTGGTTGACAGTTCAATCGCTTCAGTATTACGGGATTCACTGTAAATAGCTGTGTCGTCAGCGAACAGGGCAATGTTAGTACGCGGTGACTGCGGAAAACCCACTTATAAAACGTCATTGTGTGACGCACAATAAACGCGTTTTCTAATTTAGAAACCATTAGCCATTAAGCCCATAAGGAATGATTTTGATCGGAAAAAATGAACCGTCACGTTTCGTATGTACGTGATCCGACAAAATCGAGTAATTCGACTTTAATAGCTAATAGGTAAACATAAACTGGTAATAATTAATATGACAGAAGAAAACGTGTTTTGTTTTTATAGCGTTACACAAATTGTAACTACACAATTAATTAGTGTCATGTGTAAATACAGTCAAGTAACAATTATTATAATTTGACAGGCGTGTTAATAAAATTTCCGAAATTTCCATTTTCCTGTAATTGACTAAACGCTCTCTGTTAAACCTTATATTTTTGTCGAGTGCGTTGTAAGTCTTGAGTAACAAAAACACAATATAATGTTGTAGTATTATACATAACAGCTTCCGAAAATTAACTATAGGTACTGTTATTCGTGTTGCTGTATAATTTATTTTATTGGCATCGTGTTTTGGTGAATAGTTTTTTTTTAAATGCTTAACTGAAGAAATGTGGTTTTCCCAAAGATTTGTTTGTGTCTGTTCGAAATACCCCTTTCTCTCCTATATCACTTAGTGTATGGAACGCCAAACAGTTTAGGGGGTGCTTATTTCTAAACTCGGGGTGCACTCGAGTACACCCAAATCTCTACCCACCCCCTCAAATTAAGCTCATATACAATATGCGTATAATAATATGTATTATCTACAGTAAAAGTGTTAATTCCAGAGTGGATATAATATGGTTGGCGCGGAAAAAATACATCATAATGGATATATATATATATATATGGATATGTTTATCCATCGAACGAAACACGTTGATGTAAAACACAATCTTGTTACAATACAAATCACATTCAATCTTGCACACAACGGTATGAAAATTGCAACAAAAAAAATATTCATACCGTTGTGTACTTTTCGGGGGTAACCGCGTTTTGCGACAGACCCGACCAATGTAGTG